CCGATGTTGAATCTCGTTATTCCCAGTTGGAGCGCGAGATGCTTGGTATCGTATTCTCTCTGACTCGATTCCGACAGGGGAGATCTGTTCAAGTTGTGACTGACCACAAGCCCCTGATCTCAATCGTCCAGAAGCCGTTTGACGAAGTACCACCACGGCTGCAGCGCTGGACGGTCGCTCTCATGCCATACCAGTACACCTTGTCACATGCACCTGGGAAGCAGATGGTGTGTGAAGACACATTGTCAAGAGCGCCTGTCCAAGACTCAACTGCCTCACCAGAAGAAGCCCGCTCTATGGCTGAGTTCATTGGCCTGGTCTTGGAAGAGTGCCCAGTCAATATCGACGATATCGCCAAGGCGACTAGTGATGACCCACTGTTGCGCAGCATACAGCAGCGCGTCTTGATGCAATCATGGTCCCAAGTCACACCCGCTGAAGAGCCATACTACCTTATCCGAGATCAGCTGACGACCATTGACGGCATCCTGCTATTCGGTAACCGCTGTGTAATACCAGAAGCTCTCCGACATGCCGTACTGCAGTTGGCCCATGAAGGTCATCCAGGTCGGGACATATTTAAGGATGCTTTGCGACGACGAGTATGGTACCCCAGATCTAATGGCATGGTGGAACGTCTTCATTGAGTTGTCAAAGAGAGAATTCAATCTCTACGACCGTCCCTGTCTTTGCAACGCCGTTTGCAACAAGGTCTCTTTGATATTCGCAACTCAGTGCACCGAATGCTGGGCATGTCACCCAATGAGGCTTTCTTCGGTCGCATGGTTCGCACCCGTCTACCTCACCATTCTACCCCACGCATTGTGAATGCTTCTCATCAGATTCGCGCCAAAGCTGACATGGCAGTCTCGCATGATAGTCGCCGCGGTGTCCGCCAGTTGCCTATGCTGCGTCCCGGCACAATGGTAGTCTTGCAGGATGGCTATTCCGACCCAACTACCCCTTGGCGTGTTGTGGAGCAATATGGCAGACAAATCGGCGTCACTGATGGCAGGCGGATACTGCTCCGAAATCGGCAGCATGTGCGAGAACATGCTTCACCTGCGTCATCAACTGCCACCTCTTCTCGGTCTTTGGATCTCCAGCCAGTTCCGACGCCAGATCCCCAGCCAGCTACAGAGTCAGAAGTGAAATCCTCGGCACCTAATGCAGATGTGCCGCCTGCTACGCCTACTGCTCCGTGTGAAGCAGGAGTGGAATCTGAGATCAAAGAGGCTGATGCTCAGATTCATCCTGAATCCAGTGACCAATGACGTTGTCAATCACGCCTACCACGGCCCGATGCCCAGTCTGGCTCGCTCTATCGCGACGGCTATGTAACCCGCGCTGGCCGCACTGTCAAGCTCACTGAGAAAGCTGCTGGTGCATTGATGTAATATCTCCATTTTGACTGACCATGTTGCATAACTATGCCAATTTGCGATTTAGTTGCTGGTTTGGTTTGTTCTGTTTGTATCGTGGTACAGATTTGATGTATCTTCAGTGAGTTGACCCGTCAGTGTCAGGGTGTATCGAATTTGTTGCTTTGAATTGATTCTTTGCTCGTTTCCTCTGCAATTTTATTGTTCTTTTCTTGTCTGCAATTTTCTCCTTTTTTCTTTTTTCTTTTTCCTTTTTTTCTCTCCTTTTTTTTCTCAAACAAGTTTGCATTTGCAGACAATTTTTTTCTTAGGGAAGGGGGGTAATGTGGTAGTCATGCATTGTACATCACGGCTGTAGTACTGATGTGCACAGTCATGGTAACAGTGCATTGCGTAATGCTCTTGGCCATATGCTGCTGTTGAGCTGGTTTTACAGATGAAGAATCTGAGAGACACAATGGCTAGTTGCCTATTCTTTCCGTGTGCTTAGTCTGGCTTCTTGCATGCCTACAACGAGCACACGGGATAGCTGAAAAGCTGAAGTCAAGTACTCGGGCGGAACTGGCGGGCTCAACTGGCTTCGTGCGCAGGACATAGCGCTCGAGGGTATCAGCAACAGCCTTTGTCTGCGGTTTCGGGACGTACAGATCGTCAACGTAATTGTCAACACCATCGTGATCGCGCGTGCACCACTTGACTATCACGTCCATGAACTTCGGTGCAACGCTTTCAAAACCCGAAAGCCATACGGGTCATCAGGTACAGCTTTCCCTTCCCTTTTACGCACTGGTACCGTAGCAACTCAGGTGACATACGGACTTGCAGATAGCCTTTTCCAATATCCAGCATCTCATATTCGTTGGCATCATGCATACGCCACTCACGCAACTTCTCGCGACGCACGGAGGCATCCGTACCGGGCTGAGAAATGAGGGCGCGGTTCAGAGCACGGTAATCGAGGCGGGCTCAACTGGCTTCGTGCGCAGGACATAGCGCTCGAGGGTATCAGCAACAGCCTTTGTCTGCGGTTTCGGGACGTACAGATCGTCAACGTAATTGTCAACACCATCGTGATCGCGCGTGCACCACTTGACTATCACGTCCATGAACTTCGGTGCAACGCTTTCAAAACCCGAAAGCCATACGGGTCATCAGGTACAGCTTTCCCCTCCCTTTTACGCACTGGTACCGTAGCAACTCAGGTGACATACGGACTTGCAGATAGCCTTTTCCAATATCCAGCATCTCATATTCGTTGGCATCATGCATGCGCCACTCACGCAACTTCTCGCGACGCACGGAGGCATCTGTACAGGGCTGAGAAATGAGGGCGCGGTTCAGAGCACGGTAATCGAGGCAAGGCCTAACAGGTGTAGTAGGCTTGTGCTCCTGGCTGACTGCAAGCCATGGCAGAATTGCAGCAGGAGCTCCGTGTTCCTCTTCATCATGCTCAACGAGCCATCCATTACTGATCCAGGAGTCCAATCCTTGCTGGAACAGCTTCTCCTGATCATTACTGAGTTTCTGGGGTACTCTCCAATGCCGCTGCCGATGCGTCCGGTAAGTGGCTTGTCACCCTTCCACCTCCATGCTGCCTGCCAACACTGCTCAGCTGCTAGCCACTTTATCTGACCATCCTTGAAGGATAGCGTCACGTCCTCACCGTCTTGCACCACGCTAACATGCCGAGACGGGTGCTGATCTGGCGACTGCACAGCATCACTCACGGCAGACGACACAGGCTCAGAGTCACTAGCGGTTGACGAACAAAACAACACGGACCGCAGATCACCTGACTCAGAGTTCTGCAACCTGACGCCACCAATGGCACGGACAAGGTGAGATCTCAGCAACAGGTCAGCATTAATAACCGACAGCTCGGAAACTACAAACGAAACAACACGGGTAGGCGGTAAATTTACGGGTCCATCCAGGTGACGAATCATTAATGAAATTGACCCCGAAATCGGCAGGGCTCCGCCATCCAGGTCGAGGAGCTTCTCCTGCTTTACCGCCGACACTTGGCTGCACATCTTAGCCGCACGTATAAAGGTAGACGACTCTAGCGTAGGAGCCGACCCGGTGTCCAGCATGGCCTCTCCACGGCACCAGTCATCCGGCTTGACCGACTCCACGTCCACATAGATCCTCGGCAGGGGGCAGCTTCAGTGGACACCGCACACAGGCACTTGTCACTGCTACTCTGCGACGTACCAGCAGCCGCCACACATTCTGCTGCCTTGGCGTCTCGCCACTTCTTTCTCTCAAGGCACGCTGGCTTTGCATGACCATGCTGGTCACAAAAGTGGCACACTACTGGTCCACGGAAACAGGGCTTCTGCTTCTTCTTGAGCTCTGGGCAGTTAACTCTCTGCCTGAACCTGCTCGTGTAACGAGCATCCGTCTCACAGGCTCTAAGCCCACGTACACGCTGTAGACAAGCAGGTATCGTCATTTCTTGGCCAGCCAGCGACATTCTCAGCTGACGGCCAAATTCGGGGAGCAGGACAGCGAACAGTTGCTCGATCACGATCGGATCCTTGCTGGTGTCACCGCCCGGTTTGTGCCCCGACAGCGCTGCAAAACGCTGCAAATCGGCCACATACGAGTCGACACTTTCATCCACACGGAAACAACGGCACTTGAACAAATCATACGCTCTGGATGGCGTCACACTGAACGCACTCACTAAAACGTTCTTGACCTCTGCTTGTTTGCTTTTGTCACTGTCTGCCATACGAGCTAACACTCGAAATGCTGAGTTTCCTTTCACCTAGCGTTGGCTGAATTCCAATTATCAAGGTTCGTGAAGTATTTGTCTTGTGCAGTTAGCAATCTTCAGATGTGACGTTAGACGTCCGTGATGACTTCCTTGATGACTTGTTGGCTTTCACTTGGCGTCGACTTTTCACCTATCTTTGTCACCGCATCAGTACTCTTTGTGACATTTAGATTAGCGCAACCTATTCCTGTGTACTTGTGATTGTGGTGTTTGGTAGGGTTCATAACACCTCCATTCTGCACTATTCCTTTTGTGTTGATTTGTCACATAATTATGTGAGTTAGTTGAGTGTTTACACCTTGCGCCTGTATCTTCTCTAATGAACCCTTCATTCAACAACTGCTTCTACTCTGATGAGTTCCCCGTCATCTTTATGGAACGAAACAAGACTTGTCAGGAGTAATACTGCTTGCTTTCGTGGAGTGTGGCTGGTGAACTGTTCGTGCTGTGGTCTGCAAGCGTCGTGTGGTCTCGTTGGGTCAAACGAAAAACCTATTACTACTATTTAACGGACCTATTGAAGATGGCAACAAAGAATTACAAACTGTTAGGTCGCCATCTTCTGTACACTGTTTCTTAGTACATCCTTTCTCTTGCTGGTCTGCACCCTGTACACCAAGCTTGCCGAGTTCCTGTATAGCAGCTGCTTGTGCACCTGTATTGGTCATAGGCACTCAGGCCTTTTATCTACATTGTAGCTCTCTCCCTTGCTCACTCTCATTCCCCCTGTCTCTCTTGCCGTGATCAATCATGTAGTCATTTGTCTCTCTGTCTCTCCCTTAGCCCTTTCCCCGATACGCAAATATCTTCAATGTTCCTTCCTGTCCCTACTCCAGGATCAAGAAACACCATTGCACTTAGCCTGTGAATACGGCGACCGGGAGGTTATAGAATTTCTGCTTCAAAAGAGTTCAGATCTTTTTGCCTTGAGCAAGGTAAGTTACACTTTTAGTTAATGTGGCAGCATGGAGATAATAATCATAATATGCCGATGAATAGAATCAAGTGCGCACTCGTATCATAAACATTGCAACCAAAGATGTTATAAAGGGGAACTCCAACGAAAAAATTAAACTTTCATATCCTGTAGAGTCTGGGGTGCTGAGTCAAATGGTCTTGGTCCCAAGTCTCTACGACAAAGCGTTCTTGAGATATTGGCAAAAACGGGGCCGCGCCGTGACGTCATGCGGCCATTTGGCTATGTCATCCCGGCCTGCCTACGTCATTGTGGCACGGTCTGAATCTCGGAGCACTATTTTAGTAAACAATTTCAAGGAAAGATGAGCTATTCCAAACAATTCTTTGTACCCAGCAATGAAGGCAGCGATGCTGAGGTCAGTGAAGACCACCATCAACCGACCGCTGTGTATGGTTGGGGCAGGAAGCCCAGATACTCTGCCGAGGAGCTGCCATCGCGCGTAACACATGTTGAGGAAGAAGATGCCTCAGCAGCTGTGTCCGACAGAAGACGAGTAGCTTGGCCACCAGAATCTCGAATCGTTTGGGACTTCGGCTGGTGCGAGCGTGGACAAAAGTGTATAGCCATACCCAGCCCGCGGGAATGATTTTTATGGTAGGATGCTGTCGTCGCTGTCGAGAAGACGGCCCAAGGTTTCTTGCGTAGCCGACCTCGCAGATTACGAGATCGTAGCCTTGCATTAGGCTGTGCCCACCACTGCTCTTCGAGGTTATCTCGACATGCAAAAGCCGCCAATGCCAGTGACAGAAGAGTCTGGCATCAGGTAAGCCTCAATTAGTTTGTCTTGACTTTGTCTTGTGAGGATCGTGCATCAATATGATACGCTTAGTTTTTTGGAGAAATCTATTGTTGTCAGGCGCACTACAGTAGGCGTCGCACAAGAAATACATTGTACTGGTAGTTATCATAAGTTCCATGCATGACACAAAACAATTTAGCTTTGCTCCGAGTATGTCTTGACTTGTCTTGTGAAGATCGATGCGCATAATGTTTTGCGTGTAACTTACTTATTGTTGTCAGGTATAGCACAAAAAAACATTGTACTATAGTGCTAGAAGTTATCACACGTTTTCATGCATGACTCAAACACATTAATTTTGTCTTTATCATCATCCCTTGGATGGGTACAAGATCTGCAAAGTATGGTAGTGTTCTGTTGGTGAAGGGAGCACTGCACACAGTTTATGAGCACCGTGGGTGCATTTGATCACACCCGAACCCATACTTTATCGTTTCAAGCCATAGGCTTTGTCAATACACCCGTTCTCTAGTATACCATGTCATGCAACGTACAAGCGTGGGGTCAAGAAAGCGTACAACAAAAATGCACAAATTCTGGCAGGAGAGTAAGACATCAGATTCTGTACTTTCTGACAAAGACATCTCTGTACTAGTAGGTAATCGAATGTGTCCTAATCAGAATTCATCCCCCAGATCATTGGAATTCAATTTGAAATCAGCAATTATTGGAAATTCTAGAAGAACCTCCATCTTTGTACCAGTGGACACTAAATTATTATGGCGCGCGCACTGCATGTGCAGGTAGGTACCGGTAGTTGTAATACAGTGCATTTGTAGAGTAAATGAGTATTTGACTATAGTATAGTCACTACACCATACCATAATAATTACGGTCCAGGAATTTGGTATGTGTGCAAGCACTCAGCATACACACTCCGTATGACATTCTATGTTTCTCTAGATCTCTACGCTATGCGGCACACAGGCAGTACACACTGTGTGTACACGGCAAATGGGGCAAGCACGTTCGTTGTCGTCTTCCAGCCTGCGTTGTGAATACCATCAGGCAAAGATATCCAAATCTTGCACCACCTCAGCCTTCTCAGGAGGCTTCCACCCGTGATTAGGCAGGAAAATGCGCTTCTCCAAGGCAGGACCATCGAGGTTGGCATTTGCAACTGCTACCACCTCACACATGAGCTTGTGAACAATCTCATAACTCTTTCTGTTGTATAATTATCTATTTGGCCACATAGTCTTTTTTATGCTTTTAGAACTGGACTTTATACCTTCCTATCGGGGTCTTTTTGGATGTGCTATGGCGACGGTTGACATTGACGTCGTCAAGAGCTGCGAGATGTGCGCGTCCAATCATCCCCAGAATTGAGAAACGAATGCGTTTCAGAATGTATTTTGGCATGGCACTGTGATATACCTGCATGGGGAAAAGAATGTAGAGAAAACACACTTGCTTAGACAATATACTATTATGTGTTAGAAACCACCAGTTCTCAAGTGGGAAAGGCCTTCTGGCTTATGACATTGTATTCGTTGCGATGTTGTATCTCGACTTCGCCGTGCTGCTGATGTTTGCTGCATGGCATACGCTATTTGCGCTGTGTGCGTTTTGCTGTATACGCTGTCATGTCATGTTTTACATGTGTATGCTTTGATTATACATGTACACTGTTTTTGCACGCTATAAATAGCTGGTGTTATTAGTGTTAGTTAGATTCAATGGAAATCAAAATATACTGTTGAGATTAATAGTTGTCCTCGTGCCGTGTGGTCGTTCGTTCCTGATACTAAAGAGAACCAGAGGGTGCACAACAATATGAGAAAATGGAAACTTCGCTGTACTTGTTCTCAATTGCATTGTTTGTTTCATTCCCTGTATTTGCCATAAGAGAAGGGAGAAAAACGTTCAGCAGATGTTTGTTGTCTTCTTACGTGGAGTGGCGGCGTCATTAGATGTACGCATAGTCGTTTCACTTACGACACCACTACTACTAGGGAGTTCAGTCACGTGACAAATCAGCTGAAAACAGCCTTCACGCGGGTCACGTACATAAGTATGGTAGCGGTGGCACCATGGACTTCGCTGCAGTTTTTTCCAACTGCTTTGTCCTGTTTTTATTTTCAAGGTTGAAAGTTGGTGCGTTTGATAGCTGAGGTCTTCCAGCTCGTTTTGGTGCCGCACTTGCGTGGGCAACTGTACTTTGAGCTTTTTGTTGTGAGGAGTGTAGTTTTCAATTGGATTTTTCATCCGTTTGGAGGGAGTACCTGGCCAGGAAACACCCACCATCGTGTTGAGCGACCTCGAATTATGTAGAATAGTGCTTTTTCCTCGAGCTGGAGGATCGCTCTTCATCGCGCTTTCAAGACTTTCACCTCCTGGTCGCCCAAAATGAATGAATTTCTGGACCCAAAATGTTCAAGCGCTAGGAGTGTTTCAGATGATTTGTTGGCCCTAGTGAAAGATTGCACCTGACGGAGACTTTCGCTATTGCGACAAAGTGAGCCATGATTTTGTATTCGACTCTTCGCCTTGAAACCAGAAAGAAATTGCTATGGAGTGGTGCTCTGAAATGGATCACGTCAGTGATTGGATTGTACGCATATTTCACTATTGTGCATTTTACATGTAAATGTACTAGTACTAGTACATGTACATGATTGATCAAGTCTGTGTGACAGCCGCAGTAAAGTTGAGCATCTGAAGACCAAACTGCTGTATTTATTATTAGTAAAGTTGAGCATCTGAAGACCAAACTGCTGTATATATTATTAGTAAAGTTGAGCATCTGAAGACCAAACTGCTGTATATATTATTAGTAAAGTTGAGCATCTGAAGACCAAACTGCTGTATATATTATTAGTAAAGTTGAGCATCTGAAGACCAAACTGCTGTATATATTATTAGTAAAGTTGGGCATCTGAAGACCAAACTGCTGTATATATTATTAGTAAAGTTGAGCATCTGAAGACCAAACTGCTGTATTTATTATTAGTAAAGTTGAGCATCTGAAGACCAAACTGCTGTATTTATTATTAGTAAAGTTGGGCATCTGAAGACCAAGCTGCTGTATTTATTATTAGTAAAGTTGAGCATCTGAAGATAAAACTGCTGTATTTATAGGTATTTATATTTTTTTTCTGAAGACCAAACTGCTGTATTTATAGGTTAGTGCATGGCAGGGAGGGCCTTATGGCTTGTTAGTGCCCGACAGGTTAGCCTGAGGGCCGTAGACCTGAGGGCTAACCTGAAGGGCACAAACAAGCCATAAGACCCTCCCTGCCATGCACTAACTATTTTAGAACGAGGTTACATGCATTATCTCACTTCTATTATGCGTGCGTACCACTATATTAGGTAGTTTTTTGGTTGGTGTGGTACGAAAGAATGTTTTCTTCTGGTAAGTTATGGTAACTCAGCACCACTTAGGACTACTAAAAGTAGAATGGAAGCAAATGAAATGCTGGGCTCTTATTGCGAGCTTCATTCTTATTCATATACATGTATGTAGCTTGTGGAGCTATTTAGGGGCTTTGAGAGCCCCTAGTCGATAACTCTAATGACTTTGATCCTCGCTTTTTATAGGTTTCCGCAAGCTGTTGACAAAGAAAATTCCTACAGATGAAAGAATACGGGAGGCAAACACCGTACACACTTCTGAATTGCGTAGCTTTTAGTAGTACACCGTACACGTTATGCAGAGTTCATTATCTGTACCGTACTATTATGCATACAGGGAGTTGTACGCACCAGTTTAGAGTATATTCAGCGGGCTTTAAACTAATCCAAGGCCCTCGACGCGTCATCAAGAGTAGTAAAATAACGATTGAGCGGGCTTTAAACTCTGATAAGGCCCTTGGCGGGAATGTCGCTGATTGGTCGTTTCCTGGACAACGAGACAGACCTCGTTCTAATTATTATCAGTAAAGTTTGGCATCTGAAGACCAAACTGCTGTATTTATTATTAGTAAAGTTGGGCATCTGAAGATAAAACTGCTGTATTTATTATTAGTAAAGTTGGGCATCTAAAGATAAAACTGCTGTATTTATTATTAGTAAAGTTGGGCATCTAAAGACCAAACTGCTGTATTTATTATTAGTAAAGTTGGGCATCTAAAGACCAAACTGCTGTATTTATTATTAGTGAAGTTGGGCATCTGAAGACCAAACTGCTGTATTTATTATTAGTAAAGTTGAGC